GGTGCCTATATCTAGCAAAGCCTCATGCAACCACAACCATGCAGCAAACGTCACTCCAGCTCTCTGCTGTCCCTCCTGCCTGTCCCTCCACCCAGGGTTTCTCAGCAATTACAAAGAGCCACAATTAAACCCATATAAAAAAACTACAACAGCCACCAAAACAACTCTGCAGAGAAATGCGTTAGGAGGCAGAGGAGACCTGAGTAACCTATTAGCAGGACTGGAAGCAAAATTCTCTCTTCGTTCATGCAATTTACATAATGACTCTCTTCTTTTTTAGACTTTTTTCACACTAGTTATTTAATATAGTCATTATACTTGGTTATGGCAGTTTTAATTGGGATGCTGCCAAAAAGACACTGTTTAGCAGGGTCTAAGGGGCTGGATATTTGAACAGCATTTTACTTTGATGAACTTCCCCTGCTCTGCCTTGAAAACAGCTTATAGGGATTTTCTCACAATGTTCTCAAAGAGCTGGGGTTGATTGGGAGTGGGGGCAAAAACACCAAACTTTAAATAGCTTTACCCAACATGAGATTTTACAAAGTAAATAGCGGAGCTATTTTTTAATAAAAAGGAGCTACTAATTCACACAGAAAAGACACAAGTGCATTATACTTATTCCCTGTACTACACTTGCAATTTTTCAGCGAGCTTAATAAATTTTTACAGTCAATATCCCAGTTGATGTTTCAATGTATATTAAGTACATTTAAGAGATGAGAAGAGCAGAATATAAAGGCATGCACAGATTGGATGCGTACATGTTTATAAGGATCCATTTCAACAAGAGGAAGAGCCATAGATCTGAACTGGGGTAGTCAGGAGACAGAAGCCTATAGGATAAGAATAATACAGCAATAAGACTAATGCCAGGATCACTATCATGAGGAGCACTGCAGGGAGAGCAAACCTGCTGCATATGGCTCTGAGCTGGCCAGGCACCACCGAGCAGGGCTTGGACAAAAATCTGGCTCAGCACAAGTCTTCACCGCAAGAACAGAACTTGTGCACTCGAGTGCAAGTATAAACCTGGAGAGGAAAAGTCAGCCTTGCCACAGGAGTGAGATAAATCAGAGCAAACTTTTCTGAGAGAGAAGTATCTTAACTCCCAAGAGAGACCATTTAGCTAAACAGTTATTTTAAGACAGCAATTACAGGGGGAAGGGGAGGGGAGTTTAATTTTTCTTCTACCCAACTAATTATTAAGTAAAAATGTCAAAAGGTGACAGGAAATGTGAATTTAAAAATTGCTAGAGCAGTACAAAGTATTAAAGAGCAAAGTATTGTAAACAGTCTAGCCTTAGTTTTGTTGTTTGGTTGGGAAATTGCCCTTGCTTAAGTAGTCAACTCTAATTAGAATTCACTTGCATATTAAAAAGATCTGAAATGATTATGAATTAATACAAGATTCCAAAGTTCAGAATTCCACGTTTTCCTACCTATGCCATTTTACTGCTTTACTCAGAGAAATTAATGCAACTTTCTCTTCCCAGTCCATTTAAGTAGAGTCTAAGCAATATTCTGTCTCCACTAACATCTCCATTTCTATGAATGAACCTGTGTGGTGAGAAAGTTTGAGGATCAAACAATCAGTCATTAGAGTGACAACTTCAAGCTGCAAGCCTGACAAGCCTACTTTGTGTGCCCTGGAGTAATGGTACTTCTCCTTTTCCACCCATTCACATAACTTATTTTCTCTTTGCAAAATATTTCACTCCTTACCAGTAGCTCAGTTGAAGCCTCTGTTCATTTCATTTCACTGTGACAATATAATTCTTTTTAGTTATTTTGATGAGCTCCTACATAAAATTATAAAATGCAAAAAACTTAAGCTGTGGCAAGAGCAGACAACCTAGCCTCTTCCTGAGCCAACCCAAGGCTCATACAGCTGTCACTTCCTTTTATCCCACGTGTTCATCATAAGAAAGGCCTGTCATGTTGGAATAATGTTCTTCCCACCACCTCCTTTAAGTGGAAGTACTCCAACATGACATAGATTTTTACAGTAAGTAAGGCCTCAGGCACAAGGCGCATCAACAACGTATCTTCCCTGACCCTCCCAGAAAAGTGAGCATTTAAAAATCCTTAATGCCATACATTTGTCTTTGAAGAATGCAGCCTTGCCTGCACACTTGTCAGCTTCGAAACAGAAAATCTCTTTAAATAAATATCTAATATACCATAGAATAAATGTAATGAATTAGTCATTACTCCTTAGCGTAATGTACAGCATTCCTGAAA